GAGGCATGCATCAGTGCTGTGTCATTGGTGTGGGTTCTGGGACCTGGCTCTGTGACTCCGCGACTTGCTGGCTTTCTCTGCACCTGCAGCTCCTCCTCTGCACGGTTAGAGGTGGTGACCCCAACCATGATTAAATGAGTAGCTTCACGGAGGTTACAGAGCGCCCTGGTGGCTACTGTGTCCCCGTCTACATGCCTTCCGGGAGCCTGTCCCCTATGCCCCTCCTGCATGGACAGTCAGGAAAGCCAATGATGGTGGGGCAAAAGTGGACCGGGAGTCCATCCGCTTAGTCATGACCCTGCTCCTCCCAAGACAAATGTAGCCCTGGTGGGCTATTCACCCCTCGGCAGTTCTGCCCTGCGCTTCAGGGCCACTCAAAGCCCCCTCCAGCCCTGCCGCACCCTCACAAGGGTTACGTGGAAGCCCTGTGTGGCAGGCACCGTCGGTCACCTTACCGAGGGTCTTCCTGCCTCGTCTGTCAGTTTGTCGCACTGCGGTGGTCATGTGTGGCTGTGATGCTGGAAACTAGGCCACTGGTGTTTCAATGGTAGGGGGTTGGCTGTTAGTGTGTGCTGAACAAAGGGTCCGGCCACAGCCCTACCACGGAGCCCTGGTGCCTCGGTGGCTGAGCGGCTGGGCTGCTACCCGAAGGGCCGGCAGCTTGCACCGCACCGGGTGGCCCGAGTGAGAAAGATGAAGCCAAGGTGCTTCCAGACCTTGGGAACCCCCGTGAGCAGTTCTCCCGTCCTGCCAAACGACTCGGACTCGGAATGGGCCTCGGAATGGGCTTGCTGAGTCAGAACTGAACTCACTGGGATTGGCCTCTTCCCCGAGCTTCACAAAACTCTTTTGGGGCTTCTCCTCTTGCATCTGACTGGAATCCATTCTTTACTCAAGGGCCCCGGGAATGTGAGAAGAAAGGGCATGCCCCGGGCCCCTGCCCCCACCCCTGGGCTGCCCAGGCCTGCCCTGGCTCCTGCTCACTCCTGCCACCTAGCTCCCTACAGTCAGCTGGCTTGTCTCACGCACCCACCCGGCTCGGCCACCCCGTGGGGGGGACGCATGTCTGATTGCTCCCCTCAAAGGAGTGGTGAGGGCGGTTCACTGCCTTGGGCTAGAGGCCCCTCATAGCCGGTGCCGTGTCCTCGGCCATCTGAAAAGAGATGTTCTCGGGATGCAAGTGAGAGGCGGG